AAAATATATATGTTTTATAATAAAAGTACTTTATTATTATTCAGCAAAATTATAAAATAATTTAACGTATTAATTTTAAAGAATTTTATTTTATAATTAAGTTAAAAAATATATTTTTTAATGTTTATTTTTATAATAATATACTCAACTTTTGGCATTATTTTTCTTTGGTATCTTACGTGTTTTTTCTATTTATAAATGAAAGAAATGGGATTTCTTATCAGGCAAAAAATAAAATAAAAAATAAAATGGAAAAAAAGGAGTTGTTTCTTCATTAAAAATAAGAAAAAAAAGGGAGAAAGAAAAATAAAATAAAATAAAATACTTATGTGCGTGACAAAATATTGCAAATAAATTACTTTTTGAATTTCACAAGACAACTGATTCATCAATCATTTTGTTTATGTAAGAAATATCAAATAATGGATCTTTCCATAGAAATTCTAATAAAATTTTATGCATATTTAATATACCAGCAAATTTTCATTAAAATAAAGATTAATACTTTTGATTAATTAATTAATAATTAACGCCAGAAACTAGAACGAGTTATAAACAGGCGTAATCATGGTTTACTGTATACGCAGGCCATAATTACGCCCATTGTGAGTGGGCCTGGCCCACAATAAGGTTTTAAACAGCTTGGGTGAGGAATAGAAAACAACACCTAAATCGTACTGCCCATGATAAATTATAGGAATTCGAACTGAGCCATCGTTCCTCGTACCTCAGGTCGTTTCCTTTGCTGCAGACCTTGCCCATAACTGTAATCTTCTATAAATTGCGCCCATTATGGAGGAATTTGACTAGCATAGGTTATGCTGGTCATAATGGGCGCAAGTGTGGCTTACGTTTGCTCCATGCCCCATAATTTTTATTTTTCAGTATTAATAAAAAAAAGTATTTGAAAAATTATTAATAATTTATTACATTTTTATCGTATTTTTGCTTAATTAACAGTTTTAATATTTGTAAATATTTTATTTGACTTTATAAACATGCATTAAAAATGTGATGAAATGTTGAAATTAAATACGATTTCTGATAAAAATTACGGAGTAAAATGTATAAAAAACAGCTTATTAAGTAAATACAAGTATTATTATTATTAATTGTTTTTGTTATTTTATGAGCATTAGAATGAAAAGAGGATTCGAAATTTATTTTGAAGCGATTGTCGCGGTGTCGCGTTGCTTGGCGTCGCGCAAAGCGAACCATCGCGCGGCACTAACAAGTAAGTGATGAAACATTATACTAAATAAATATATTTTTCTATCACATTATTTTTATATATTTTGAATATAAATAACGTATAATATTTCAGTTAAATAAATTATTAAATTATTATAGAGATTCAATATAATTTAAAAAATTAAATAAAAAAAATTTAAATTCTCATATGCATAATTTTCATAAACAAATCTGTGCATTACTGCATAACGAAGACGTTTGTGTGCAATAACAGAGATCAATAACACTATATTATTAATAAAAATTAATTTTATTCATTAATAAAATTTAATTAAACATTTTTTCTCTTTCTACAACACATATTTTCACTTATTAATAGTTCAAAATACATCGAAATATAATACAATTGAATGTATATTAATGGCCACCTTCTAACAGAGGTCACCTCTATAAGACGGGCGTTTTTTTTCAGGAAAATGAATAAAAATGAATATAAAATAACCTCCAAACGACGGCCTGTCAGCGGCGGTTATTCGGAGGAATTGACTGTATTACGAGAATTTATTTTATTGTTGTTGCATACATTAATAAAACTGAATATTTTTCGTTAATTAGAAACTTAATTAATAATCTACGTGACCCAACTTTTCTGAAACGATCACCTACTCCCTGCGGGTGTATAAGTCTCATCTGTTGAAATTCAAATAAAAATCTGAATTACACAAGGAAAAGGTCAAAATTCGCTTGGTTTTTTTGCATGATGTAGCAATAAAATCTCATATATTTAAAAAAAATGTATATATTTTTTAAATATATTTTATTCATGTAAAAGTTACAAAAATCTTTCATTTTTTCTACTTTTCATGGCTTTAATAATTATGTTAAAGTCAAGACATCGTTCGCATGCCTTTCTGCATTATTTTTATTCAATCAATTTAAAAATTTATATATTTTAATTTTTATAAAACTTTAACATATTTTTGATATTAAAATTTTTACAAATTGAAATTTTTCATATTAAAATTTCATATTATATCATTTACACACACATTTTGCATATGTAACAATGACGTCGTTTACACACACATTTTGCATATGTAACAATGACGTCGTTTACACACACATTTTGCATACGTAACAATGACGTCGTTTACATACACACTTTGCATACGTAACAATGACGTCGTTTATCCACATTTTGCATACGTAACAATACGTCGTTTATCCACACACTTTGCATACTTAACAATGACGTCGTTTACACACATTTTGCATACGTAACGATGACGTCGTTTATACACATTTTGCATATGTAACAATGATGTCGTTTACACACATTTTTCATACGTAAGAATGATGTTTTTACATGTTATTTTCATACGTAATACTAATATTTTATTTACGTATACGTAAAGAAAACAGTATTATTACGTGTCCACAAATTGAAATAATTATTTTTAGCAATTGTTTTATTATTT